TTAATTTATGCCAATCATTTCATTACTTAATTTATGCATTAATTTGATGATCAATTTTGTAGTACTAATTTGATTGAATGTAGATTGTTTGCAGATTAATTTTGCAGATCTAATTTCAAGAGTAACAATAATAATAATGAAAATGATTGAAATAATAAAAAACTAATTAATTTAGTATATGTAGATTGAATTTGATTTTATAATGATAAATATAACATGCATGTTATAATTTCATAATGATAATGATCTTTTTTAAATGAAATTGTGTTACAAATATATAAACTGATTTGTCTGGTTTGTATTACAAATTATTTTTAATAGATAAATTCCTTATTTAGAAATTACTTATTTAGTAATGATAAATAACCATTTTACAATAACATAAATTAGCAGATTTATATTTTATGAATAAAATCAAATATTATTATAAATAACCAAATATCAACCAATATTTATTAAAATTTTAAAAAATAAAAAAAAAAATAAAAAAATAATAATTTACAAAATTAAAAAAATTACGTTTTTACTCTTTTTTTCTCTTTTTCTTTTTCAATTACTCTTCTGTTTTTTCATTTAATAAAGTTGCAGCTGTATATCTGATCCCATTTCTACTTAAATCCAATTTAGCCATTCCATGAATGGCTTGGGTTAACCAATACCAAATTGAATTTGAACTCATCTTAATTGCTACTTCAAATTTAGGATAAAAGAAGTGACTATCTTTTACTTCACCAATTTTATATACATATCCCAATGTCCAATCTGTCCTATCATTATCAGAATGACCAACAGCTTTATAATTCTCGACACAAAACAATGCACCTATAATTTGTTTTTCATCTAAATTAACAGCATTTTTAAATTTCTCATAGGAATTTGTTATTCAGAGCATTTTCACTTTAGCATTGTTATAAAGCCACTTCACAACCATATCTCCATCTTTGTTAAATATCCGTTATTCATCCAGACTAGATTTCTTTCTAGCAACCTTTTTGTAAGTGAATGAATCTGAAAAAGAATTTAAAGGATATTTTCGAAGACCATAACCAACTAACTTCCCAAAACTTCCATATTTTTTTCCATGAATAACATCAGGAGATTTAATCAGGTGATTGTTATCAAAAATACTCAGAATTATATAATACCCAATAAATTTACATACTAAAAAATGCTTTTATATTTAGTTTTAAAGATCTCTGACAATTATTACCTAAAAAGATTACTTCATGTGTGGAGTTTATCAAAGCTTATCAAATACATGTAATAACTGATAATATATATTTTAAAAAATATATAAATACGTGACTGCGATGATCAGTGTTTAAATATAATTTATTTGATTGCATATTTTTCATTTATTACTTTCTTATTAAAAATTTTTATAACTCATTAAAAAATATATCTGTTTATCAGTAATTGGTTTTTCTTATAAAATCTTGGTATAATATGAACAGTTCACATTATGGAATCTAACGGTACTACATTATAATCATTTAATATTGATAGCTGAGAACATCCATAAATTTCTGATACCTCGTGATCCCTTTGGTTTGACTTACAATACTCATACCATTTTATCATTGTGAAAGCAATTTTATACGAGTTGTTAGCAAATAATTCTCCTAATAGCAATACCTGGTCATAGGAATACAAAATATTCTATAATAAGAATAAAGAATTTAATTACAATAATAATAATGAATCAATTCATTTGCCAACCTTCCCAAAACACATTCCTTAATCTGTAATATAATTAGTAGCTTCTTCTGTATCCATTACAACAGCGACATCGCTAAACCATGAAGCATTATTGTAAGATAAATCAGTACATATAATATCCATTGATTGTAGTGTTGCATTTTTGTATAATCGCACAAAACTCTCAATTATATATAGAAATGTTATAGACGTGTTGTCCAAAAAAGTTGCTAGAGATGGGAGTAAATTTTCAATTCCTTCAAGTTGCAATGGGTCTATTGTTTTTATTTGTTGAAAAACTCATAAATGCTCTTCAAATAATGATAAGTATATATCTTGAAGTTTTCTGACAATAATCCATCTTTTCTTATTCTATTATGACTTACAGTTTCTGTTAACATTTTTTGCTAAACCTGAAAGTTAAGTAATTTATTAACCATATATAGTTATAGAGTTTTTGATCAGAAACTAAAAAAAATACATTACTTTATTTAGGATTTGATCCATAACTTCCTTCTTATTA